CTTTGATGAATGTTAGTTGTATGAATTGAACTGATTGATACATTAGATGTATTAAATTATCAGTAAACTCAGACGTAAAATTGGAATAAGGACATAAAACGTTATAAGACTTAGACGGCTCGATAAAGAGAAATTGAAAGACCAATCGAAAATAATTATAAGTTCAATGATCCAATAATAAATAAATCAATTTCAAGATACATGAAGTTTGATAAATTCTCTTAAAAAGTTAAATATTAGGTTTAACTAGATATGAAATTATCGAAAAGAGAACCATGAGATAAAATTACAAAAATGCCCTTGTAATGGAAAAAGGACCAAGACTTCCCCAGATGGTGGAAGATAACTCTAACATGACATATTTGACTAATTATCTGAGAAACTGCAAATGATTGAATTTAAAGGAATTATTGAAATGTCCTCGAGCTTCGTAATAACTGTAATAATAACCTTCATCAATCAAATGATTAAAACACCTTGAACGCTAAGGAACTAGATTGCATTCAAGTCTAATGTATCGAAAGTATACCACTAACAGAATTAAGCGGAATTATGATGATATGCTTAAAATGCAAAATGATCTAAAGTACATCTAAGTCCTAGAATAACTAATACCCTTAACTCTAAAATGAATAAATCAACCTCGAATACCAAAATAACTTTATTATTTGACCAAATTGAACTGAACGGAAATACAATATGTATCCGAAATTCAGAAACGTTCGAATTACTCTGGAAAACACTAAAGTGACCGGGATAGACTTGTTTACTAAATGATTTATGTAACCTCAATGACTTTGGATTAAGTAAGTGATTTGGATAAGTCTGGGATTGTTGATGAACTTTTATAATGTATTGTCCCTATGGGTTATGAACCACGAATTAAAGTACGTTAACAATTCCTGATATTGTTATAATGTGAAAATGAAATAAAAACCATTGGAATGTTTGTTTGTCTCTTTGAGATATATTCAACGATGATTCTGAAGATGATCTATGGACAAGAATTTTTATACTAAAGATTGAATACCCTGGAATGGTAATGAATGGACCGGTCGACATGCATCAGTCCTAGAAGTTGTTCAACTTGAGTTATTTCGATAATCCGATAGATCGACACATATTGTAAATGTCTTAAACCTTCATTACTCCCTTATAAACTCAAATCACTCCGATCATATCTGATCACACAAGTAACTCAGATGCAATGGATCTTGACTACCCCAGTTAATTCAATTGGACATAAAATTCTGAAAATTCTATTCATAATCCTGAATACCTCTGATTGTTGAGTAATTGAATCACTCATGTCATACTTGAAATATTAAGTACCTCTGATACAAGAAGATTATGAATACCTTTCTGATCTCCAAGTAGCTCTCAAGAATATATGGATCCTCTAGTGTGTTCCTTATGTGACATGTAAATGTTTTACTTGTTTTAAAACGTGATTTTCTGAAATCATTGATTTAATGATTTACTGGCTTATGAACTATGTCTACATGGTATATGTTCTCTGGTTACATGTTTTCATTGAAAGATATGAATTGTTCCTAATTTATGGAATCATGGAATTTACTGGTTTATGAACTATGGTTTCCTGTTTTTACGGGTTATACTCGAACTGTTTTATTGAGATATTATATGGGTAAACTGGAGTATGGAGGTATAACTCTGATCAATCTGGTAAATCCTTACGGACCTAAGGTAATCCTTGGGTAGGCTCTCAGGCCCCAAGACACTCCCTTAGGTTAATCATGGAACTACTTACGTTATACAGGTGGAGATCAGTTATATTGTTTATTTTATTATCATGGTTTTGACATATGACTGGATCACGATCCATATATTACAGTCTACGACTAAAACTGATTTCTACTGGATTTTTATATGGGTAGGATTCTAGAGTAAAGAGGTACAACCCTGATCCAGCTGGTAAAATCTTACGGACTTAAGGTGAACCTTGGGTAGGCTCACGGGCCCCAAGGCATTCCTTTAGGTTGGCTCCCTTTGTTGTGTGCCTAGGGTAAGCCCTTATGGATGTAGTTTTGGGGAATTGTATATCGGTGTTCGGTTGGAGGGTTCTACTATGGTTTTGAAAATATATTATAAACAATTCTTGTTTCAAAAATATTTATATCTTTTAACTAGTTTTGGTTGGAACACGTTAGACATCCTATTCGATTTCCTGAAAACTTGATACTAAGAATGTTTCCTATGAACTGAGATCTTCATGGCTTCTACTCGATGAACTACCATTGTAATCCATTTTATTTCGAAAACCTGTATACGTTTGATTCAATAAGGAAATTTTTTGTTCTACTTTTATCTGCCTGTCCTGTAGCATCAACTGGTAGTATTGTATTACTGAGCTTTCCAAAGCTCACTCTATTACTCATCATTTCAGGTTAAAAGAATTGTACCAGTGTAGCTATTGACTTCAGTAAAGGAGTTCCACCGGTGTTACTTGCGGAGTACGGTGCATGTGATTAGGGGACATGTAGGTTGTAATTTGTTTTACATATGAGTCTGAAATTTGTTTTACTTTTGAATACTGTAAAATTTTACTTTTGTATTTATAAATGATTTTATGATTTTACACGTTTTAATAAAAAATGTAATTTTTTGATATTTCCTTCAGTGGGTCGCTCTGGTGGCCCTAATATGACACCACGGATCAGATCAGACCACCTGCATCAGTCTGAGGGGGTTACATAAACTTCAGTGCCATTTCCAACCATCTCAAAAAATTTAGAATGTTAAGTTGAAATAATTTGAGAAATTAAAATTTTAGAATATTGGAGTGAAATAATTTGAGAATTATGAATAAACAGTCTAATATAGAATAAAATAAAAAAAATATATGAGAAATTGAGTATCGGGTTGACAAGTACCTGATTAAGCATTATTTTATTACTTCGTCCCGCCAAAAATAATGGGTTGGGTACCCGACCCAAAAATTCTAGTATTCACTATAAATATATGATAATTTTAGCCAGAGTCAACGGATCAATGGGTCGGTCTTCTGGGTCACCTCTACCTTATACAACACCTCAAAAATTGATCTAAATTTTTTTTATGATTATTTTAATATTTTTGGATTTTTAAAATAGAATTAATTTCATTGTATAAATAAAATTAAAATATAATTTGTTTTGACCAATGTTATTAAAACCGGACCAGACCGACCAGTTCGATCGGTTGAACCGTGAACCGGTGGCCTGTCCGGTCCGGTTAACTCCTAAAACCGGATTAGCACAGAACCGGTAAAGAACCGGAAGAACCGGCTGAAAATCGAGAAAACCGGGGTGAACCGGCTGAAAACCGACAAAACCGGTTTGAACCGCCGGTTCACTTTTTTTCTTTAAAAAAAATTAAACCAAACAACGTCGTTTGTTCAACGAGCCGAGTCAAATTCGAGTATTGCTGAGCTCGACTCGAACTCGAAAACTTTAAAAGTAAGCTCAACTCGACTCAAAAACTCACGAGCTAAAAATTATCAACTCGAAATATAATATTAAAACTTGAAATCGAAAAGGCTCGAACTCAAAAAAAATTTAGAAGTTCGATTGAAGCCTAAAATTTGAGCTCAATTGAAGCCTAAAATTTGAGCTCAATTGAAGCGAAAGAATAGTTCGCTTTGTGCTCACCAAAAGGCTCCATGATTTTGAATGTCAAATTACCTCTATTATTTATAGAAGTAAGTTGGGATGCTCTTCTATGTTTCTTAGCCATGTGGGATTGTTTTGTTCTCATATTTTTACTCTTTAAACTTTTGAGATACTCTTCTATGTTTCTTAGCCATGTGGGATTGTTTTTTTTAAAACAATTAAACCAAATGACATCATTTGTTATGATTTTTTTAAACCCCAATTTTATTTTTTTGATTATAGTTATATAATTATATTTATTATTTAATATGTTTTACCTTAAATATTATGTTGTAGTTGATTTGAATCATTTTGTTTCACTTGATTTTATGGTTTTTCATTTATACATGTTATGACTTATGATATTTTTATACATTTTAATATTATAAACTTAAAAAGTGTTACATATATATTAATATTGCTTTGAATATTATGTAAAATTAAAAAAATATATTATTTTATATAAATTCCGGTTCAACCGCGATTGAACCCGATTGAACCAGTGAACCAGTACCTTCACCGGTTCACTGTCCGGTCCGGTTTTGAAAACATTGGTTTTGAAAATGATTTAAGGATTGATATTTCAGTGAAAATTGAAAACCTAGATGCTCAACTAATATAATAAAAAAATAAATGGCTAATGGTTAATTAACCCATGCAATTATTGGTTGAAAATGGTGGGGGGGGAATGAAGAATAGGTCCATGGTTTCACATTTTTTATGACGAAATTATTATAATTTAGTTATTTTCCATATTTGTTTAATTTTACTTAAAAATTAAACAAACACTTTTAGGTGAGTTTCCTCCATTGGCCATGGGGATTAATAGGTAAAGTAGTAAGTCACCATTGAAACCTTAAAATATTTGAAACCCTAAACTTTTATTTTAGGGATCAAGCCCTTCTACTAATCTAAACTTCAAATTGATTACATATTTGATAATATCTCATTCAAACTTCTTTTTAGGTGAGTATAATCACTTGAGTATATAATTGTTTTATTTGTGTTGATCATTGATACGTAGGCATATTATATACATTGTTATTGGTTCAATTAGAGCAAATAGATGACAAATCATTGTTAAAGAGGCTTAGGTAAAATTTTATGATTTCTTCTTTGTATGTTTTGTGAGCATTGTGGTTGCATTGAAACCATTAATATATATTATTCTCCAATATGTATTCTGACTGTATAGAGCCTACGTTGTTGCATGATCAACACTGGATCAAGAGATCAAACATTGTACATTGGTAAGTAATGAAATGTCACAAGAGTTAGCAACATAGTAAGTGAATAGGGATGGGTAAAATATCCAAATTCGACGGGTTCCAATCCGACCCGACCTTATAGGGTGGGGTTTTTTTTTTTAAATTTTGGGATTCGGTGCGGACTAGGGAAGATTATATATTATATAGGTTCGGGGCAGGCGGGGCTGGGTTTAAGGTGAAAAATAATTGATTCGACCCGACACGATTATATATATATTTAAGATTTTTATTTTTATAATATTACAATATATTATTTAATTATCAAAATTATAATAAATTATTGTAAAATATATTATTTTAATTATTTTAAAATATTGATATATTCGGGTCGGGTCAAGTTGGGTCGGGATTGAGATTTTAGTCTAAAAATCATACGGATTCGAAACGGTAGTAAAACTAAAAATTATCGGGACGGGTTGGAGCCAAATATAAAAAAATATATTTTTGGGTCAGGTCGAGGCGGCCAAAAAATCGGCCCACCCCATCCTATGCCCATGACTACACCCATAAGCTCGAGGTACACCCTTTTAAGAGGAGTCTGTAGACACCCATTTTTGTCTGAGTCTAAAAATATTATTATTATTATTATTATTTACATTTTACATTTTACATCATTTTTGCAGGCCCAACAGACCCAACAAAACCCGACCCATATGCAAGCCAACCCAAGACCCAGATACAAGCCAACCCGAGCCTAATTAGTAAACCCAAGCAAGATGATCTAGAAGTTGACCTGACTGCGTCAAACCCGGCCCGAGATCCGACCCGGTCCAGACCCGTTGGTGAGCCCAAGACCTGGGTAGATTTCTTCACTCGGTTGACCACACCAACTCCTACCAGTCACCATACTCTGTGTCCATGCCTTGCCATCAACTGATGCCACTCCATCCCATGCCCATATACCTCTACACCAGCAGCAAGGCTGACCTCTCCTCCAGAGCATGGCACCACCAAACACATCAAAGAGGAAATCAGCAGAAAAGTTTTTGCATATAATTTTTAATGGGTATATAACCCAACCGAAAAAAACAATGTAAACAACAATTTTATCAGCAATAAAAACAAACAAAAAACCAGTTTAGAAAATTTTTCCCTTTTCTTTCTTACGAAACAAAGCGCAACCAAATCGAAAGTAAAACAAATGAAAAAGAGAGAGAAATGGATTCTTACCCATTCGGTCGGCAACTCCCACGGCATTGGAGAGCTCTATTCGTGAATTCAGACAGTGAGAAGGGATAGTGCACCACCATGAACAATATATCTCAGAATAGGGACGATCCAACGGCGAACAACGATGGATCATGAGAGAAAAACTGAACAGTTTCAGCTAGATTCGTAGAGCTTGGGGTCGATTCTCGCGAAACCGACCCCAGATCGGAGACGGGGAGGCCAAGATAGACTTCCCGGTGTAATTTAGTGGTCATCGGCTACCGGAGACGGCGGCGGACAGCACGACAGTCGGCGAAGGTAACCCACTGGTGACTCCTCGGTTTTCTAGAGAAAGACCCTCTCTCTCTAAAAATAATTTAAACAAAAAAAAGAAAAAAATTTGATATTTATAGAAAACTTTAGGGGGAAATTGCACTTAGGCCTCCCTATGTTTGGCGTGTTTTTGTAGAATGATCACTTGAAGAGACTGTTTTTGTAATTTACCCATTTCTTATGCATATTATATATTCTTGGTTTATTTTTTGTTTGGTCCCTTTACTTTTAGGCGTATTTTGCATTTTGTCATGTGTGGTGATTGTTTAATTTTTTTAATACTTAGGGATTGATTTAGTGATTTTCCTTTTTTTTACTTCTCAACACTAACTTTTTGATTTATTTTCTTCCAGGTCCCTATACTTCATGCCGCATTTTACATTTTAGTCCCTGAATCCCTATGTTTTATTTATTCTATTTTTAGCACTTTAATTTATTACTTTCAATTTAGTCACTAACATGTTATATTCCATGTTTTATTTATTTTAATTTTGGCATTTTACTTTTTGTTTCTTTTGTTTTAGTCATTAACTTTGACTTGGAGATAACTTTGATTTTATTCCCAGTTTAATCCTCTATGTTTTAACTATATTAAGTTTTAGTCATGTAATTATTACATAATAGGTACTTTAATTTAATTTTATTCTGTTTTAATACTCATGTTATGTGATATTTGTATATTAGTCATGACTTGTTATATGTTTATTATTATACCTCTAAAAATTTTTGTTCTTGCTATTTAGTCCTTATTTAATATGTATGATTGAATTTTTATTGGTATTTTAATTTCTCATGTTTGTAAATGTGCATTTTAATTCAAGTTTGTAACTTTGTTTTATCGATCGATATAATTTCATGTATGTATGTATATAAATTATAAAATTGTTATTTCTTTGTATGAAAATTTTTATTCCTTTGTGTTTACTATGTGTATATTTATGTATATGTTTCAATTTTATTTTTATTATTATAATTCCTTACATGTATAAATATGTAAATTATTTTTAGCTATTAATTTTTACTCCTTTATGCGATATTACTCGAATGTTTTCTAACAACAATGATTTGTAGAATGGGCGTGGAAAGCATTACTTGATCAAAGTAGTGTGATCTGATACGCCATTCGAACAAAATGTGAACTTGAAGTAAATCGATTTTATTTTACTAATTAATTCATGTTGTATTTTAAGTCTAACGATGCGATGTATGTTTCTAAATAGCAATTTATTCTATGCAAACGCCAATTTTCAGTTTATATTCGAGTTGCGTTTTTTTCTATAACATTGGTGAGGGGAAATATTTCTTGAATAAAGGAGAAATAGACGATATAGCTTTCCCATTGGAGGATGTGCAAATATCGTTATTTCTTCTCGAATTAAGGAGTGTTTCCTAACAAATAGTTCAAAGCAAATTATTTAATCTTTAATAAATGGGTCATATTCTAACCTTATATTCGATTCATATTTTTTCCCATTTACGACGATGTGTAAACGATTCAGTACCAATTTTTTTGTGATGTGGGGGTGCTTATTCTTCCCCACACGTAATCGACTCCCAGACCCATTAAATTGAATCTTTGATAACGCAGACCGATTTTCGTCTAAAAAACGATTTTTCTTAAAGTTATTTTAAAAGACGCTTTTAGGTATTTAACCTACCTAACCTAAAGGTCGACGACGACTCCTTTTCAATTTAATTCAAATCAATTCGTAAATCCCCAATTTTTCAAATAATAAAGTCATAATTGTTTTTTAATAATATTTAATTGTTTTGAAAAATAGTTATTACAACTACAACTATCACTACAGCAAAAGTGTTATGCAGCGGTGTTTTTAGCGGCGCTTTTAGGGAAAACGCCATAAAATTTAAGGATGTAGCGGCGTTTACAATCGAAACGCCGGAAAATGAAACTTTAGCGGCGTTTTTTCAACAAACGCCGTAATAGGGTGGTAATTTAGCGGCGTTTTTATATAAACGCCGCAATAGAGTTGTTTATAGTGGCGTTTTCTAAAAAAATACCGCAATAGAGTAGTAATTTAGCGGCGTTTTTATATAAACGCCGCAATAGAGTTGTTTATAGTGGCGTTTTACAAGAAACACCGCAAATGGGTCGTACATTAGTGGCCTTTTTATATAAATGCCGCAATAGAGTTGTTTATAGTGGCGTTTTACAAGAAACGCCGCAAATGGGTCGTACATTAGTGGCATTTTTCTGTAAACGCCGCAATTGATTTAACAAACGTGGTGTTTTTTTAATAAAAAACGCCGCAATTAGTTACACATCAGCGGCGTTTGTAATGTTAAACGCCGCAAAGCCAGTTTTAAAACTCCTGAAGCCCTAGCCATTCTTCCTTATTGATTTGTCTACGATTTTCCGATTACAATTTACCCAGAAAACACCAGTAGCTATCTCCTTCACTGCGCCGTGCCTTCTTCGTCTCCGGCGTCGTCGCATTTCGCCATACCCAGGTTAGGCTTTCTTTCTCTCCAGTCGTTTACCCTCTCAGCGGTGTGTTGATTCCTTAATTTTTTTCGCCCTTTTCTCTTAGCCTCAGTTTACCTAGCTAAAATCAAAGCTTTTCTCTCAAGGCTTGGCCTTGAACCCTCTAGAAGACACGTAGCTGAAGACATGTTAATTCACCCTCTAACATTCGTCCATTTACAATAGCCCTGCTGCAATCAGAATGATCTGGGAGCTTCTTATATGGATTACTTTTAACTTTGGGAGTTTATTTTAGCACAGATGAGATCCCTAAAGACATGTTAATTCACCCTCTAACATCATTTTACTTCTGTTACTTTATGCAGACAAGTTAAGAGAGTCTGGAAGCAGTGCCAAAGGTGTTCAATAGAAAAGCTAAAGGTGAGATGCCTTCTTTCTTGTTTTAAATTTTGGATTTATTGTTCATCTTCTACAATGTCCTTTGGTATCATTGGCTATGTTTATCCTTGGCATCTCCACATAAAATAAGAAATTGAAGTTCTTTATTTTATAATTTGTTTTTTCGAAGCAACCTTGTAATACAAAGAAACCATTGTTTTCGAAAGATGGTGTAAATATGATTTTTTTATCTTCCTGTCTGGAAGTAGGAAGGGAGGTAATTTCGTGGGACATAGTAGAAAAGTGACTGCAAATGCGATTAGTGGGTTTTATGTTTCATTTTTCTTCAGCAGTAATGGATTGTTATTTCTAGAACTGAGATTCTCCAGCAGTAAAAAGAACGATCTTGTTGAAAAATATGAAATTGGTTTCGTCGGCGGTCAATTCCTTGAATACAATAGAAATCTCCTAGGTTATAATGGTTTCATTGCAAAAATATATGCAGATAGTGAGCTTTTAGACATGAGAGATTTCCATCTGTTTCCTAGACAGCTGCAATTATGCGCATAGTTCATGGTTGCAAATAACTGCAATTTGTTCAATTGATTAAACATTACATGATTCTAACTTGAAGCAGTACTTTCAGCAATGTACATGACATGTTAATTCAAGACAAATATGTTTGAGCAATGTTCACCCTGCTTTGTGAAAATTGATTTACTTATCCTTACCCAGTCTTGCTGTATTGGAGGGAATTGCAATAAATTCTTATCCAAATTACAAAGTTTTGGGTAGTACATATCCATGGATTGCAAAGAAAGTATTGACTGATAGCTCGCCTCAACTGAAGTCGTCTTTGCAAGCACTTCTTTATAAGGTACATCTATACTGATCTTGGTTCTTTATAGAAATGTTACTGTGTTCTATTTTGTACTTCTACATCATTGACATAGCATGTCGAAATTTAGTACATGACTAGGGCATGTTTTCCACTTTGCATAACTACTTTTCATTATAATATATCTAATAGAATATGCTATTATCTAACCCTATGGTGTAGTGACATTACCATAACATTGTTCAGCCTAATATAACGTAATATTTTATCGTGTATTCAGTTTGATTAATTCTGAGATCGACTATGATGTCTAACTATGGAACTTAGATGAAACCATATTACTGTTCATCATGCCTTCTACTTCTTTGGTCAAACCACTGATAAATCTGATGCTGTCACATGTAACTAAAACTGATAAAATCTAGTAATAATGTAAAAATCGTTGTAAATACTTCCATATGTTGTTTTTCATATCTGCATTGGGAGTGGTATGTATGACATTTTGTACTCTGCACTACTGTTTTAGTTTGTTTCCTCTGTTTCATACATTGTTCCTCAAAATTTTGTCAAACACTGATATGTATATGGAAGTCCAAATTAAAAAAAATAGTTTGTTTGCCTCAACAGTAACATGTGCATCGAAACAGGAAGTCAATAATAATGTTGCTTATGAACCCATGGTGTCGCGTATAGAGAATGAGTTAAAATCAAAGTAATTTTTAGTGGTGAAGAACACAAAGAGGATGCCAAAATGTTAACTTCCTTAAATTGATTCCTTGGTTAAATTGAATTGTCATATGGTTTAGGGGTGAAATAAACTTAATAAACCAGTTAAATTCCT